AGATATTAGCCTTTATAAACTCAAAATCATTTTTTTATTTTTAACATTGTTCATCTAATGATAGTAAATCCATCCAAAAAAATTGAAAATGAAAAATTCCTTCTAAAGCCTAGATCTAAGCATCTCACCAAAATGAACGGTCTATGTTAATTGGGCTAAAAAATAATTTCTAAGTTGTGTTTTCAATTTTTTATTTTTTTGTAATTGTTCATTAGAATGAAAAGAGTGTATGTTTCAAAATTTGGATCAAACAAATGGCCATAAGATGATTTTTTAAGATTGTTGCATCATATTATTATAAAATTGTTGCATGAAATCATTGCCCGGAAACAAATGATCACTTTTATTTCACTTAATGGGGATCAAACCATGATATAGACATGTATCAAAATAGCTCTTCAAAGTTTGAGAAAGATACTACACAAAATAAAGAAGTTATGGTGAAACTACACCATGAGATCCATAAGGGACCACACGAACTTTTCAACATTAAAAAATGAACTCAATGGACTATTTCATATGCTCAAATATGTATATATATATATACAACTTTAATAGTACAAAAGTTACAAAGGTGAATTTTTCCATTACTACAAACTTCTTCCAAACTACTCATGTTGTACATACGAACAATACGGCTGCGATTACTCTGAAAAATTTCACAATAGCTTGATAAGTTTGATTACTCAATAAGTGACCATCATTATTCTTACAAATCATGGTTAGAGAGTGTAAATATTTTCTAAAAGAATGCATATTAAGCAGAATTTCGACATATTGATTTCATGCATTCTAATACATGCTATTAAACAGATTCATTTCTAATCTTACACATATCTTGTATTCGTTATTAAACAAAGAAAATAAGTATGATAAATTGACCATATGCACATGATCATATCAAGATCAACAATAATATAAATTTAGTACTTTAAAACATTACTGCAATTAAGTATCAGATATGATCAAACAAGTGTTCACAATAACAGAAATCCTATAATAGAAGTACTAACCTTGAGTCACAAGCCTCGAGTTCAAGGTTAGAACTTCTACTATCCCACAGGAATAAGCACTACCAACGGGTAAATCTGTTGTATAGTGCCTTACTCACGCACACAACCCCAACGTGCTTTGGGGCTTTTGATAGGCCCTGACCTTGCAAGACACGGCTCTCCCATGTGCCCTTCTGGCGAGAGAGCATTACACTACCAAAGGGATCCCAATGAGTAATGCCTCACATAGATTTTGGGGGAGCGACCACCCAAACACACACACACACTCCTAACTCTTATCTTATCATAGAGAGTTAGAAAAAAATCACAGCTGCCAGCATAAATATCTCATCAGAGGCATGTTTTCATGCATACATATCTTATCAGAAGCATGATACCATGTACACATATCTTATCAGAAGCATGTTACCATGCACATATATCTTATTAGGAGCATGTTGCCATGCACACATATCTTATCAGGAGCATGTTGCCATGCACACATATCTTACCAAGAACATGTTGTCATGCACACATATCTTATCATAAGCATGTTACTATGCACACATATCTTATCAGAAGCATGTTGCGATGCACACATATCTTATCAGGAAACAATAATATCGTATTTTCAAAATATTATTGAATTCATTAATATGAATTCTCATGAAGCAATTAATAGTAATTACTTGCACATAACACTTGCACATAATATTTGCACATAATACTTACACATAACACTTGCACATAATAGTTGTACATAACAATTGCACATAACACGCGCACATAACACTTGCACATACACTCGCACATAACACGTGCATATAACACTTACACATAACATTTGCATATACTTGCATATAATATTTACAGTATCTAGGATTTATGCTTCAAATATTGCAATTCAATACAGAAATACGTAGAACTTACAGTTTTAGGAATATTACAATTAAATGTAGAAATATTACTGGGAATATTATAGAAATATCAATTTTCTTCAAACAATGATTTTACAGGAAAAATGAAGCCACTTACCTATATGTCACTTTAAGATAGATATGTTACTATTGTTGCCGGAGTAGAACTGGAATCAAGGGTATTCAACTAAATGTAGAAGGGAGAGACCAATTGAGTTCCTATAGGGAAAGGAGCATAAAAATATGGTTATATAAGAGAGCAAGAAAAACTATTATAAGTCTCTTAATTATTTTAAGAACACTATCGTATGAGAACATACTACAAAAATCATAATAAATATTGTAGTAACATTAAACAATGTAAATAACATAAGAGCAAAAAAATAATATTCATATAAATCATATGTAAATGAAAACTAATAATAAAATTTATGTAAAATCAATTCATAACATTATAAAATATTTCACATAGGATGATGCAATAAATTGTGGTCTTTGATGATCCACTTCATATATTGCACCTAAATCCCCAACAACCTCAGAATAAAGAATTCTTATGTCTTAACATATTAACGATACTATTTAATAAAAATAAAACTTGAACACCAATATTATGAGAATAATGAAAATATCATGCAATATAGTATGCAATAAAAATGAACCAGTAAGGAACAAGTAAGGTAAATATCATGTAATATAGTATGAAATATAATGAAAATATCATACAATATGGTATGCAATAAATATAATGCAATAATGAAAATATCATGTAATATGGTATGCAACAAAAATGAATACGTAAAGAAATATCCTGCAATATGGTATGTTATCAATTAACAAAAACGTGGTTCGTACAATAATACCAATATTATGAGAATAATAATAATGAGAGTATTATGAGTGAGAGGGAAACATGATTGTTATGAGAGAAAAATATCATTAAAATAATAATATTCGTATGAGAATATTAGAAATGAGAGAAAACACTTATTTTAATAAGACTATTACTATTATAAGAATAATGAGAATATCATTCTTATGAAAATAATGAGGCATTATTATGAATATTACGAGAGAGAGAAAGTGAAATTCGTTGAAGAGAGAGAGAAACTTACTAGTGAAGAGAGAGAAGACCCCATCATTGGTATGATGGACTTATGATGGTTTTAAAGAGAAAGAGAGAAAGAGAGCTTTTATTCATGTGATACATGTTGCTTATGTGTCTTTTATTTTATTATATTCTTAAGTGTATGTGCTTTCTCATGACACATCAACAAATTGATGGATTTATGATTGACACATCATTAAGAGGAATGACACATCTCCACAAGAATTTTATTCTTAATTTATTAGTATTTTGGTGTAAAATCGTATTAGTGAAAAAGATAGTCCTTATGGTGTATTTTGACACAATGGACTATCGCTCTAATATTTCTTTATGTAAATATTTTATTTTATCATTAGTACTATTATTATTATTATTGTTATTGTTATTGTTATTGTATTTATTACGATTATGACTATTGTTGTTGTTGTTGTTGTGTACAAGGAGAACACAATTAGTTATCACCATCTTATGTGAAATTTGATAGCTTGGTGTGTCACAAAGTTCGAGAAAATTATCTTTACACTTTGAGTTTGGTAAATGGAATAAATGTATCTACCCAATTTCACATCCAATGGTCAAGATTAATTGTAACCACCTTATACAAAAGATAAATGGTATTTTTGAATACTTTTCCTTTCATTTAAACTCCAGTTTTTTAACCTCATTTAGATGTGTTTTGTTTAATTGTACTTTAAATTTAATTTTTTTCCTATTTTTTGGGTTTTTTTTTGTATTTTTAAAATTTTAACATTTTTTTTGCTGCTACAGTACTCGGCCCTACTTGGGCCAAAGGTGGTGATGATCACCCCGGAGTATGCGTTCGGCTCAAGCATAGGATGAGTACTCGGCCCGAGCTGTGGTTTTGAACACTAGCGGTTAGCACAAGGCGTCTTAAAAAGTGAAGCCGAACCTCAAAACCTTGTCCACCATAGAGCTATAAGCATCATAAACTCTTATAGTCTTATGAATATCGATTTTCACTCTTTATTTTGAAATTTAGAGCTCCAAAGAAAAGTGTAGATTTGGCGGATTTTAAAAATTTAAAAATAGATAGTCCAAATTATTGTTATGAGGATTACACAAACCACTAAATAAGTAAGGAGTCTGGTCTAGTCAAAATGGTCTGACTATGGGTTGAACCAGTTAGAACGGATTTTAAAATATAAAGACAAAAGATGAGTAATAATCTAAAGCTATAAGATACATTAGAAAAGCGTCGTCCAACCCTATTTGACAAGTTGAAATGGTCTAAACTGGCTTTGTTTATCAAACTTGATTTTTAATTTAGACTAGATCAGCTAATGTGCAGGTCAGTGATCTAACATGTTCAATCGTCGATAAGTCCTTTATAACTATAGTACAAATAATGTCATACAAAGTTAGTGCAAGAAGAAACAGCGGATTCCAAGGCAACATAAATTGATTGGGCCACCAATTTTAAATTTGGTGGCTCCCTTGACATTGCCATTCTTTCATGTTTACATGGAGGCCAATGAAGTTGCATATTTACTGGTTAAGTGGGGAGTGTCCATGAATTTTTTATTTGTTTCCGATGATGTAACCTCTCTTTGAATAATTACATAATCTAGAATAATAATAATAATGTCTTACGAAGTGCACTACTTTTAACATTTCAAATCATTTTCATTTGAGTCCAAAATTGTTAAGATAGAGGCGATCAATTTGAGAGTTTCAAAACACCGAAACCGCTTTTTTCGAAATGGTTTGATGTATAGTTCGAATTTTTATCGTAAATATATTACCCTTTAATTAATGAATAGATTCCCAAGCAACATGGGAAAATAAAGGCCTAAAGACTAAGTAGCCAGCATAGTTATCTCCACTCACCCTCGAAACATTAAGGAATATCCCTTCCCTTGTGTTTCATTCCATTACCACTCTTGAAACAAACGCCCCCATCTCAACTATAAGTAAGAGACACTGTAAACACAGTTGCCATAACATGCACGCAGGCAGGCAGCCATGAATCAGGACAACCTTGCAGTGCTAAACGCCCTCGACTCGGCACGCACGCAATGGTACCATATCACTACGATCGTTATCGCAGGCATGGGCTTCTTCACAGACGCCTATGACCTTTTCAGTATATCCACTGTGTCGAAGCTCTTGGGGCGCCTCTATTACTATGACCCAAAATCCTCTAAGCCGGGCAAGATTCCGGACCCTGTGAACAACTTTGTCATAGGTGTGGCTCTTGTTGGGACCCTGACAGGGCAACTGGTGTTCGGTTGGCTTGGTGATAAGCTTGGTCGGAAGAAGGTGTACGGTGTCACCCTCGCCCTCATGGCGGGCTGCTCAATATGCTCCGGGCTGTCTTTCGGTTCCACTCCCAAGTCCGTGATAGGTGGGGAACTGCATTTTCTAGATTCTTATTATGTGCATTCTTGGGTTGAACTGATACTGTGTTTCCCAAATTTTGGAGTGGTTGTTCTGACATGCACCACTCCCTCCTTGCTCTCAGCAACAATTTACTGAGGTGTTTTCAAAAACTTGTAATAGACCATTACAGGTACTTTGAATTCCGGACCAACATAATCATAGAATGCTTCATAAATGAAACCTCCATCTTGTTTCACCTATGATAGAATTTCTCTACTATTTTAAGTGCTCGTCAAAACCTTGTTAAGTCAAATTTTAGTTATGTTAAAACCTGATTATTCAAGTAGAACTTGTTTGGATGGCCTTGAATGGTCAAGTTATGCAAATCTCATGGCTCATCTTTTTTTTTTGCATAACCTGGTTTGCTATTGCACAAAGAGAAAAAACATATCAAACTTCAAATTTTGAGATAGTTTCTCCCTAAAAAGTTTGAGATAGTTTCACCTCTAAAAAAATTAAATTTTGATATAGCTTCTCTCTCCAAAAATTTTAAGACAATTTCTCTCTATGAAAATTTAAAATTGACAATTTCTCTCTCAAAAAATTTCGAGATCATTTCTATCTCTAAAAATTTTCACATAGTTTCTCTTTCTAAATTTTGATATAGTTTTTGTCACTAAAATTTTAAGATACTTTTTCTCTAAAAAACTTAAAATTTTTGTCTCTAAAAAATTTTAGGTAATTTTAGCTCTAAAATTTGATATAGCTTCACTCTCTAAAATTTTAAGTTACTTTCTCTCTCTAAAACTTGAAATTTGATATAGCTTCTCTCTCTAAAATTTTTGAGATAGTTCTCTCTAAAAAGTTTCAGGTTGTTTCTCCTCTCTAAATTTTGATAGTCTCTCTCTCTCTAAAACTTAAAATTTGATGTAGTTTCTCTCTCTAAAAAAATTGAGATAATGTCTTTGTTAAACAAAAATTTGAGATAGTTTCTCTCTAAAACATAAAATTTGAGATAGTTTCTCTCTGTAAAAAATTTGAAGTAATTTCTCTCTCTAAAATTTGATATAATTTCTTTCTCTAAAATTTTAAGATACTTTCTCTCTCTAAAATTTAAAATTTGAGATACTTTTTTTCTCTAAAAATTTTGAGATAATTTCTCTCCAAATTTTTTTGGATAGTCTCTCTCTCTAAAATTTGATATAGTTTCTCTCCCTAAAATTTTAATATAATATTTCTCTCTAAAACTTGAAATTTTGAGGTACTTTCTATCTCTAAAATTTTTTATATAGTCTCTCTCTAAAAAATTAGGTAGTTTCTCTCTCTAAAATTCTATATAGCTTTGCCCTCTAAAATTTTACTATACTTTCTTTCTAAAACTTGAAAATTGAGAGAGTTCTCGCTCTAAAATTTTTTTAGGAAATTTATCTTTCTAAAATTTAATATAGTTTCTCTCTTTAAAATTTTAAGATACATCTTCTCTCTAAAACTTGAAATTTGAGATAGTTTCTCTCTCTAAAACTTTTGAAATAGTTTCTCTCTCTACAAAATTTCGGGTAGGTTGTCTCTCTAAAATTTAATATAGTTTCTCCCTTCAAAATTTGAATATACTTTCTTTATCTAAAACTTAAAATTTGAGATACTTTCTCTCTCTAAAAATTTTGAGATAGTTTCTATCTAATACTTTTTAGGTAATTTATCTTTTTAAAATTGAATTTAGTTTCTCTCCCTCTAAATTTTAAGATACTTTTTCTCTCTAAAACATTGAATTTGATATAATTCATCTCTCTAAAATTCTTGAGATTGTTTCTCTCTCTAAAAAATTTCAAGAAATTTCTCTCTCTAAAACATTAAATTTGATATAGTTCCCCTCTCTAAAATTCTTGAAATTGTTTCTCTCTCTAAAAAATTTCAAGTAATTTCTCTCTCTAAAATTCTATATGGTTTCTCTCTAAAATTTTAAGATATTTTATCTATCTTAAACTTAAATTTTAATATAATTTCTCTCTCTAAATTTTTTGAGAAGGTTTCTCTTTCTAAAATTTTAAGATATTTTTCTCTCTCTAAAACTTGAAATTTGATAAAGTTTCTCTCTCTAAAAAAATTGAGATAATTTCTTTCTCTAAAAAATTTCAATAGTTTCTCTCTATAAAACTTGATATACTTTCTCTTTCTAAAATTTTAATATACTTTCTCTTTTTTGTACTTAATTTGAAGTAGTATCTCTCTCTAATTTGTGGGAATGTTTTGGCAAAATTAATTATATTTAATAAAGTGGGCAGCTCCAGTGTGTGAAAATAGTAGCAGTTCCAGCTCTAGTGTGTGAAAATAGTATTATCATCATCAATTGTATTATATCATAGTCTCTCTCTATCTTTAGACAAAGTCATGTTTGATAACCCAATTATTTTTTAGATTTTGTGTATTTATGTTTTGGCCTTTTCTTTCGCTTCCAGAAAACATGATTATATATCAAAAAATTTATGAAAGATATGGTTTTGGATACCCTTGGATACAAAGGACCCATTAGTTCTTATCGATTAAGAATTATTGATGTCTATTCCAGGAACACTGTGCTTCTTCCGGTTCTGGCTCGGGTTCGGCATCGGTGGGGACTACCCCCTCTCGGCCACCATCATGTCGGAGTATGCCAACAAGAAGACACGAGGTGCGTTCATTGCAGCAGTTTTCGCTATGCAAGGGGTTGGGATCATCACTGCGGGACTTGTGGCTATGATTGTCTCTGCTATCTTCAAGCATGCATACCCAGCACCATCATTTCAAGAGAATAGAGTGATGTCAACCCAGCAGCAAGCTGATCACATGTGGCGCATTGTGCTCATGCTCGGTGCCTTGCCTGCCCTTCTCACCTTCTACTGGCGCATGAAGATGCCCGAAACCGGTCGCTACACCGCCATCATCGCCGGCAATGCCAAGCAAGCTGCCGCAGACATGGGTCGGGTCCTGAACATAGAGATCGAAGAAGAGCCCGAATACTTATCCCAGTTCAAGGCCAACAATGATTACTCATTGATGTCTAGGGAATTCCTCCGAAGACACGGGCTCCACCTGGTGGGAACCATGACCACTTGGTTCTTGCTAGACATCGCATTCTATAGTCAGAATCTGACACAGAAGGATATCTTCCCGGCGATTGGGCTAGTCAAGAAGGCCGTCGAAGTTAACGCCCTGGAGGAGGTGTACATGACATCCAGGGCCATGTTCGTGATCGCCATGCTCGGGACATTCCCTGGTTACTGGGTCACTGTTGCCCTCATCGAGTCACTCGGCCGCTACAACATACAGCTCATTGGCTTCTTCATGATGTCCCTCTTCATGCTAATCACGGGGATTAAGTACAACTACCTCAAGGAACATAATCACACATTGTTTGCCATTCTATACGGTCTGACGTTCTTCTTCGCAAATTTTGGGCCGAACAGCACTACATTTGTGCTGCCGGCAGAGCTCTTCCCTACGAGGATACGGTCAACATGTCACGCCCTCTCGGCCGCTTCCGGAAAAGCGGGGGCCATGGTGGGTGCCTTCTGGGTTCAATCTTATACACTAGATGGTGACCCTGGGAAGATACAGAAGTCGATGATCATACTAGCCTTCACCAACATATTGGGCTTCTTTTTCACTTTCCTGGTGACTGAGACTAAGGGCCGTTCACTGGAGGAAATTTCAGGGGAGGCCCGAAACAACGAAGTCAATCGAGCCGAAAATGATTCACGCAGCAAGTGATCAACATCATCATCTGTTGCCTCCATGGTGCCTCCCGTCCTGTTATCCATATGATGCTTTCATAAGATATCTCCTGGGTCACGAATAAGATGTGAATGCGGTTGCGTGATGTATGTGATTGCAGAAGTGTAGGGTTTGGTATGCAGGTGTACTCTGTGCTCTCTCTTTTTTTTTTTGTGTTTATAATGTTATATCAGGACAATAGCAAGAATGGAACTCCAGATGTATGTTGTTAGGCCTAGAGTGAATGTGTTTAACGGATAATGTCGGGGTACAATCCTATACTTTCTTTTGTCACCATTCCTCCTATTTTCATAAATGCATAATGGGAAAATCTATAGGAAATGCTCCATATTTTTCCAAAATTTAAGTAGAGGTCCTACCATGCCTTCCCCCCCCCTCCCCCTTCCCTCCCGCTTAGTTTTATCCCCCGTTTCGATGTCAGCGACATGGGGCTAGTTTTTCTTTTTATTCATATTATTTTTTTGATTCAGTTGAACTCTAGGGCTAGGCAATAGCTCGTATATTTGACAACCCCAAGTCTAGATCGGTTCAATGTTTGAAACATCAAACCCTGCAATAATAATAATTTTAGAGGTATTGGACATTCTGAATTAAAAGAAAAATAAAGTGTAGGTCCAGTGTTCCACAAATAAATCCAAATTAAGATATTTTGACTTTTTACCATCCGGTGACATGCAAATGAACCCTAACGTTTTAGCATCCCTATAGTTTGAGATAATAAAAAACTAAAAGAAAAAAAATAAGATCTGATATCACTAACATCAAACTAAGAAGCAAAACTAGAAAATTTTGTGAGAAAGTAGAACCTTATTGTAAAAATAAAAAAAATTTATTCCACTAGGTAATACTGGAAATGTTTTCTAGTGCTAGTTGGGCTTGATTTCTCGTCATCCCGATTCGGCCGGATATAGGTGACCCGATGTAACAATCCTAAAAAAAAAAAACAGGAGAAAAGATGCTTTTAAATAGGTGATGGTCTGTTTGAGTATGATGGTCCTTGAGGACCATCACTATTTCAAAAACTTTTACTTCGTTTAACTTTTGCTTGCCTGTTTTGCTTGCTTGCCTTTGCCTTTACTTTTCTTTTGCCTGCTTTTGCCTCCTGCTGCTTGCAGCTGGCAACATCCTTTAGCGGACGTGGTTTTCGTATGATAAAAGTAGACTTTTAACGCGACACCTCAGGTATGAGGTAGAGCGTAATAAAACAATATAATAATACGTTATAAGAATTTAAATAGGGGATGTGAGCACTCCCACCCTAAAACAAAATTTTGAGATCTCTCTCTCTGATCGAAACACAGTGAACTTCTCTCTCGAACCGAATTCTTTTATCGGAAGCTCCCTCTCAAATAATTATGGATAAGTGACATCGTCTTTCTGAAAAATAGTCTATTTTTAATAAATAGTGATATTTCTGTCCAGGATCTTTATTTTATAAGTTTTGTGTGTAAGTGACATCGTCTTTCTGAAAAATAGTCTATTTTTAATAAATAGTGATATTTCTGTCCAGGATCTTTATTTTATAAGTTTTGTGTGTAAGTGACATCGTCTTTCTGAAAAATAGTCTATTTTTAAGAAATAGTGATATTTCCGTCTAGGATCTTTATTTTATCAGTTTTATGTGTAAGTGACCTCATTGTCTCGAAAAATAATCCATTCTTTTTAAAAATAAAATGAAATAATTATTTCTGCTTATTATCATGAATTTTAGGCGCGATAAATTTTATGCGCAC